CTTTGCTACTATATATACACTAAGTTAGCTCAGTAGGTTTAGTTGTGGGACTGTCAAATACAGGGTGCGGGATTGTCGCGCGCGACAACGTATTCGTAATTCGTATTCGCAATCTCAACGTAGTGAACGTGAAAGAGATGACACCATATCGCAACCACAAAACCCTTCGGGGATTATTGCGGTAGTCGATAATAACATTGCACCCACAATCCACACTCTTAATCCACGCGCTTACCTTGCTAGATGGTTTGACGATGGGAAAAATGTAAACATGTGAAATGTTGTAGTTTTGATACTTTTAAAAATGTTTGTCAAAGGTGTCACAATCGTAAAAAATGAATGAATATAGAAAAACTTCCTCGACTGAAAAAAAAACAAACTCATTGATATGCAGTTGGAACGACAATTTCCTTTTCCTTTAGAACTGGAAAATGCTTCAGATTTTGAGGTTTTTTCCATGTTGCAATCGCTTTTGAGCGATGAGTTCGTTGCTCTCTCTAATAGGAAAATTACTAGGATGACAATTTATTTGCCACATTGTCCGACCGAAGGGACCATTCCTCAACTCTTTCATAGACATATACAAATACAAAACCTCCTCAAAATGATTTATCCCAAGGATGTTTTTTCCACTCCTCATTTCGCTTTGGTACGTAGACTCCCCCTTCAAGCAACATCTTTCTAAAAAATTTTAACATCTTGCTAATTTTGCTCCACCATCCAATATGTTAAAGTCGATTGTCACTACTTCAGTTATTGTTTCTGCTTTGCTGACCGCTACGGTACCTCGTATTCTCTCAGTTGTGTTGTGCCCGCTCTTACATCATCAACAAACCATGTGCACGTCTGTACAGAATCCTTGGGACAACCAAATTCTTCTAATTTTAACATTGCTATATATGACTTTCTTGAACCGATTGGTCCTCAAAAGACACTTGCACACTTGTCCCATCTTGATAGTTTTCACAAGATTCAAGTTATTGTGGAAGCAGCAGAGGAATTAAATATGAGCATGAACACTTTGAGGTGTGTGAATGTTGTAACTCGTCTCAATTACAATCAGAAAGGACAATGTCGATTCAAAATTTTTTAGGAGTATCGTCGCAAAGTGTTGCAAGCAGTTTTTGTTCGTGAGGTACTGCAAGAGTATCGTTGCAGCGAAGGAAGTTGATTGGTTTTATAAAAGAATAAGAAGAGAGATATATTGTTGGGGCGGTCATCTAGACCTTGCCTTAACGATCAATTTTTAGATTGCCATCTTCGATTTCAATTACATAATTGTCGCTACAAGAGATATGGGAAGAGAGACACAAATAAATGGGGGTGTGTGTGTAGGAGAGAGAGAGAGAGAGAGAGAGAGAGAGAGAGAGAGAGAGAGAGAGAGAGARARAAAAAAAAAAAAAAAAAAAAAAAAARACCGACTTAAAKAATTTKAAWGTAATATTATTGCATTTTTTTGAAGTCAATGTTAATTCCACTACGTAATAATTGTGCCTTTATCATACTGCGCCCACTTGCTTACTTTAATGGAACAAAAAATCTTCATATGAAACTTATTTTCTTTGTATACTCGTGTTCATCTTTCTTTATTCTTTGCTCTTTTGTTGCTCCTCTCTCTCTCTATATATATCTATATATCCATATCTCTTTCCCTATCTATCTCTATCTTTTTCTTTTTTTTTCTTTTTTTTTCTCTCTCTTTGTTTGTCTCCGTCTCTCCTCTCGCTTTTTTCTGTTTTTTTTTTTCCCTTTCTATTTGTTACTTTTTATATTAGTGAATTCAACTTACACTTCGTAGGTGGTTTCAGGCTATTCGTTATTGCCCTATGATTCGTGTCAAATTGGCTACAACATGGTTCGTGTCAGGTTGGCTACAACATTTCTTATTTATGTGAGCATGGCCCACACCGCCCGCACCGAAGGCGCTTAGCTAGTATACCCTGAAAAGGCATGGGAATGGATAATCGTCCCTATAACAATAGTAAACTTTGACAAATACACCACTCGCCCAGGGACTTATACCCTTACCAGGCCCTGAGCAACTCGTCTACACGCCCTGCTATTTCTGGCCGTTGGACCAGATGGCGAAAGAAATGTACAGGCCCCTGCAGTCCAGGGCCAGGTGATATGGCGAAGTATCCAATGAACGGGACATGGGGGGATGCATAAGTTTGGGGCATTTCAGCATACCCCTGTGTTTTAGGGGTATCGAACGAAATACCCAAACGTCGTTGAAATTCGCGTGGCTGTTTCGTTGGCGACGGGGTTAGGCAAGGGTTTGAACTCAGGAGGTTCATGATGCACACCTGCCCGTTAGGCACCCAACAACCTTTTTTTTTTTTTTTTAGTCTCTCTTTTTAAATCACATTCCAAATGAACTGAATCGAGGCCAGGGACCTCACAATTCAATCCGGAGTTATCCCAACAGCGTCAGCCGGTTTAGCTTGATTCACAATCAATCCATGCTTAGCCATGTCAGAGGTATCCTGAGAAGACTAATCTATACACAATCATTAAACCAACTAAAATGGATCTCTTAACCAATAGTAGCCTAGGTTGCTAGTAATCCAGCCCTATTACTACTCCTATCTTAGTAACCTATTCCAATCCTAAGCTAGTATCGATGCTGCCTAAAACGGCAGAAAACAGACACTCTCCTCCTAAAAACATCCAGGTCTACTTCCTGGGCCAACTGGCCTCAGGCCCCGTCTAACCTTGACAGGGAGGATTGTTCCAAGGGACCGACTTACCCTCCCTATGCGGTCTACTGTGGCCGCCCATAGGAACCGAGTGCCCTGATTCTCTCTACCAAGGAACCTCAACTCAACCATTTGCCCAAAACGAGGTTACCCTCGGTCGAAATATGTGCCAAGCCCAGACCCCATGTTTGGGAAAACCACCTCTTGCCCTGGACTCGCTCTCCCTGTTGAACTTTACGAAACCAATCGGCTTGGATTGCGGCGGCCAGGAGCTTTTGAACATCGCTTTCGCTGCTTGCTCCTCCAGAGCCTTGCCTTGGAATCTGAGACTGTTCCTATCAAGCCAGATGACCCACAACATGATCCTCCGGCCCACCTGCGCAATATACCCCCAACCTTCTGAGATCTTGTAATTCCTTGGAAGGCTTCCCGTGAGGATCCAATGTTGTCCCACCAAATCAGAATTCCCTGCAAAACGCTTCCAATGGAATTCCCACCATCTCCACCACTTTCTAGATCTCTGACATTCCCACCAGAGGTGCTGTATTGTCTCTGGAGCTTCCTGGCATCTGTCACAAATATTTCTTACCGTGACTCCCCTCTTTAACAGCCATTGTGCTGTAGGAACTGCCAAATGAGATTGAAGCCACAACAAGGAAGCAATTTTCTGGGACGACATCACTTGCAATTGCGACCACAGACTGATCAACTCAGATTCCGATGGGGGGTCCAAGTGATCAATACTGTGTGACCACCTGGCAGAGACTTTTCTGGCAATCGCTGTCGAATGTTGCTTTCTCTTTGAATCAGGGCCGCATTTAAGTTATTCAAGCCCATGATTTCTGAGTCCTCCAACTGCCAGCCCCACACCTCAGGGTCAATCCGCAGGTGATGCAGCGGAGTTCCATTCCCTACAAGTACAGGAGTAAGTGGGAAGCCATGCTCCTTAGGAGCAACCATCCTCACTCTGACCTCGCTCAACTCAGCCAGTCCGTATTGCTGGCGAATTCCATCCTCGATAGCGTAGGAAGATTCGGGTGAGAGCGATTGTATGTCTCGAGCCAGCATTTCCCCGTGTTGTCATCTGTCCAGCTTTCTAATCTGCAGAACTGCTCTGTTCCATCAAAAATGGTGGAGTACCAGGTGACAGGAGGATCCGTTCCTTCCGGACCCAGAAGCCGTTTCCAATCTTCCGGAAGGCTTCGAGCAACAACCGAAAACGAGCTTCTTGGTCCGGGAGCTGACCCAGAATGTCCTTAGTCTGAGCTGTGGATTTCCATTTGTTGCAATGCCTGTCCCACAGGTCTCCAACCGTTGAAAGCCCCTTTTGCAACCAACTCAGGCCGAAATTGCCTGGGCGCCTCTGCAAGGAAAACCTATCTCCATCAGCACCCTTGATATAGGTGTTCTCGAAGAGATGCTGCGAGTGTATCTCCTCCTTGGATCTTGGGGCTCTGTTCGTTGAGGGCCTGCAAACCTTCCAGGCTTGTAACACCTCCCTCCAGAGCTTCGACTTAAGACGCTTGTTTGCAAAGGTACCTGTCATAATGGCCACCCAAGTATCTGGTGGGCGCATCAGCCCCCATTCCTTCGAAAGCAGTGATTCCGCCAGCAGGACCCAATCTGTCCCCTCCTCAGCCTCGGCAACATAATCCATTTGGCAAGCAGGGCAGTGTTGTGTGCGGCCGGGTCCAGCAGAGACAGTGTTCCAAATTTCGCTACCTCCTAAACTAAGGTTTGCTA